CAATCAATAGTCTTTGTGTTCCATCATGATCTTTTTTGAGAAAGAGAATTTGGCCTTTTTTTATATACTTCATACCTTTAGAAGATTTTAATTTAGCTTCTTCATAAAGTGGCTTGAATTTGACGCTTTCCTTCTAAATTCCTTCTTCCTCCGACACTAAATATTTCTGGAGAGGCCTTTATCAGATCTAATTCAAAACATTCATATTTCACAGGAGGCAAACTTTCATTTTCAGTCAGTGTGTCTTTGTCGTTAAGTTCAGTTTCAGAATTTAACTCATTTGTTGAGAACAGATTTTCCGTTTCTTTTAGTCATCACTGTTGAGCACGAGTTTGTATGGCATTTATCATACGAATTTGAACTTCATCTACTTTTGCTTCTTTAAATAATGCAGCGGTCTTGTTACCTTCCTTGATCTAATGAATCTCTTAAGATTCCAGCCTTTGTTATTACATGACCAAGAGCTCACATTCAAGCTCTACCTCAGCCAAAGGTAAGCATACTGGATGTTCTTCCAGAGGTGTTCATATCCACACAGTTTCACGTGTATACGAGGCGTATTCGGAAACTAAGTACTGTTTTGAAAAAAAAAAAAAAAAAATAGTAAAACAATTTTTCGAATCCAATTTTATTTTTACATGAAAATACATGTCTTAAACTATTTTTCAACATAGTTTCCGCCAATGATCAAACACTTGTCATAGCGGGTGACCAGTTTTGTATACCATCGTCAAAGAAACTTCCCGCCAGTTTCGATAACCACGACTCCACAGCATTTTTCGTGTCATCGTCAGATCCAAAGCGCTTGCCACCAAGCTCGCGCTTCATGTGCAGGAACAAGTGATAGTCGGACGGCGCCAAGTCCGGGCTGTACGGCGGGTGATCGAACTGCTCCCAATGAAACTGTCGAATTAACGATTGAGTGACACCAGCAGTATGGGGCCGAGCATTGTCATGGAGCAACACAATTCCTTTACTGAGCATTCCTCTTCGTTTGTTTTGAATGGCACGCCTTAGTTTTGTTAAAGTCTCACAATATCGTGCCGCATTAATGGTTTCACCTCTGGGAAGAAATTCAGTAAGCAAAACGCCTTTCCTATCCCAGAAGACAGTGCACATGATTTTTTGTGATGACATTGTCACTTTGAACTTTTGTTTTTTTTTTGGAGAATGAGTGTGTCTCCACTCCATCGATTGTTGTTTCGATTCTGGTGTGAAATGACACACCCAAGTTTCATCACCTGTCACAATTTGGTTTAAAAAGTTTTCTCCCTCATCACTGTACCGCGTGAGAAATGTCAGGGCACTACCAAGTCGCTTTGTTTTGTGAACATCAGTGAGCATTTTTGGAACCCATCGGGAACACAGTTTGCGATAATTCAAGCGGTCAGACACAATTTCGAACAAAACAGTACGTGAAATTTGTGGAAATGCCTCTGAAAGAGTTGTCATTGTGAAGCGTCTGTTCTCATGAATTGCTTCATCAACTTTCCTTACCAAATCATCGGTGACAACAGAAGGCCGACCACTCCGAGCCTCGGCGTGGACATTTGTTCGACCTGCATTAAACATTCTTACCCACTTTCTCACCATTCCATCACTTATCGCGTATTCACCGTAAACTTCTGTCACTTGACGATAAATTTCGGCCGGTTTAACATTCCTCGCGTTCAAAAATTTAATCACGGCACGAATCTCACAGTCAGCGGGAGAACTAATTGTCTTAAACATTTTGAATGTGCACAGCAAACTGAAAACACAACATAGAGCAACCAAAATGGCGACAATTGAAAGTCAGTGAACAAGAAAGACTAGTGCGCATGCGCAAGACGCCTACCACAGCACTGCGACGGCGCTAGAATGATACGGTACTTAGTTTCCGAATACGCTACGTACATGGAAGGCTGTACATACCTTTGGCAAATTAAATTTAAAGTTGCACCAGTACCTCTAAGTGTGGGCATTTTATAGCCACTTACTTTACCTACTCTGGGATATGGAGCCATAATATCCTTAAAACTATTTTTGGAAAATTCACTTGAGGGTACAGTTTCATTGGATGCTATAGTTTCTAAATCCTTCTTGAGTTTATGGTGGGGTAAGGGTTATTGCTCGGTATATATCCTTCAAAGACACGACTCCGCCTCGCTAAACATAACTTTATTCACATACATCATATTTTTAACACAACTATCATATTATAACAGAATAACATAACAGAAAAATCCTAAACAAAAATTCACACATCCTACACTCGAGCTAACGGTGAAGTGGGAGAGTTCACTGTCGCACTGGCAATTTTTCTTTACACAACATGATGTGGTCTGGAGGTGTATGCAGCCGGACGTCAGACTGCCACAAGTTTATCACACAGAGGTCGAAGATGAGAGTAGGATCCACATTCATAACAGCCAGACTATCTCCATTTCTCAAATTCCCTTTCATGAATTTTATCGGTACATTCTGTCTTAATTATAGGTTTAGTGTTAAAATCTTCTGATATTTCTTTAGGATTATGTCTATGGTGATAACTACTTTGCATTTTTTTCCCCGTTTTGATGACTAATGAAGTTTTAAACCTTGTTTTCTAGGATTTTCCTTCTTATAGCTCTGTTTAATGCTCTCATACTTGTCTAATTTTTCTGCTAGCTCATATGGAGTTTTCAATTTCATCCACTGGTCAAGAAAATGATCCTTTACTTCCGTTGGAACCCTACACAGTCAAGTCGTTAATTCGGTCACCCATAATCCGGAATGATCTATAATCTGGACCTCAAAGCTAAAAACTTTCTGCGCATGACATTGACGCATAGGCATTTACGCGTGTGCATAAGACCTTTACGGCTGCGAATATGCGAGTGCGGATGCGCATAATACGTTTACGCATGCGCATTTAATGTATAACGGATGGTATAAGCTAAGCGCTAAAATCTAATTCAGTTAATGTTGCAGATGCGTTGTTGGATCCGGCTTATTATTTTTTGCAGACTGTTAGAGCAATTTCATAAAAGTAAGCTTGAACTTTCGATTATGTCAAAAGAATTTCCTATTCTGGAGCTGTCAAAGGATCTAAAGCGAAAGCTGTTTCGATGTCCATCAAAAAAAGTGGAATTGCTGCAAAAATAGATAAAGGCATATCCTTTGTTTCTCTAACCATTCGAAATCTGTTTATCAATTTCACGCTGCTTTGCGAGGGGGTGTCGTGGGCGCAAGAACTGGAAGTTGATCTGCCAGCACATTATCTCAGGGCAGATGTTTTTCTTTTAATATATAATTCCTTACTAATGTAGTTTCATCTCGATGTACTCTGATATGATTTAATGATTCAAAGACAGAGATAATGATTTGAATGATTTAAATCAAATTCTTGTCATTAAATATCACGAGTACACATCAAATAGTTTTTGGTTGCATTCTAACTTCGACTATGCGAATGTATGCTTTCACATGCGCGCGTTGAAAAGAATGTTTAATAAAGTAAACAAATAAATTATTTTTTTTTACTCCTCTACGAAGTAAAAAGGAAGTATTGTAATCGCAAAAGCTTCAGGGCAGCATATTTCAAAAAATAACTTTGACCGCTTGCATTTATGATGCTTTTGCGTGATGCTTGTAAGGACAGAATAAAGACTCTTTTCCTCCAAAAACTAAAACCTGCTTTTTTTAAATTCTGAAGAGAATTTTTTGTGGTGTGCGTACGAACATACGTATCTCACTAACTCAAAAAGAGAGCCTCCGAAACGTTGAATTTTGTATATAAGACTTCTATAACAGTAGATGTGCACCTCATATTTTGGTTTCAATCGCCACGCGAAACGTATATATATAATAATTATAATATATCCATCTGTTACGGCTCAGTGATCTCGTTTCTATCTCATATTGTAATTGTACATTTTTTGCTTTAAAATGATTGAATTATGTTGTTTTTATCTTCCAGGTTTTATGCCTGTTCCAGTAAATCTGATGCATATTTTTTGAATTATCACAATTTTAAAATTGTTTAAGTGCGCTTAACTACTTATGGCGGCCATTGATGTTTCCATTTGAAACAGAGGCCTAGGTGATTTTTGCCATCTAAGAAAACTTAACTTCGCAACACAAAGATAACGCATTATTTATTAATTGCCATTAAATCAGCTTATACTTTCTTAATTTTTCGATAATGTTTAGGCAATAAATTTTGTGATTTTTATAACATATTAATACTTTTAAGTGTACCTAGTACCGAGTTAGTATAAAACAATTAGAATTTTAAAGAAGCATTTATTTATTTTGGTTTATGCTGTGTAGAAGCGGTAGGTGTAATTCAAATCTAATTTAAAAAAAATAAATGCAAGAAAAAATTGTGTATAGTTTAATATCCTACAAGGAATGGTCTGTCAGCGGTAGGTACACATCAGATTTTTTTTTGTAAATTTTGATACCCTTTAAATCATAATTGCTCTTTATTTATAAAAAAAATATGGTTTAATATTTTTAATTTTATAATTTCTGCATGCCATCTTACCAGATTTAAATTGATGATCTATAATCCGGAAAAAATGATAATCCAGAATCGGCAAAGTCCCGACAAGTCCGGATTAAAGACTTTTTACTGTATTTATCTTCAAAGCATATACTAATGTTTTATAAGTTTATTTTGTATAAAATTACATGAAGAAATTTTCAGCAATGTGTGATTAAGTAAAATTATTTATGAAAACATTAATAAATATTAGAATTTATATTACTTCCTATTATATGATATGCATGTTGCAAAAAAAAAAAAAAAAAAAAAAAAAAAAAAAAAAAAATAATAATTTAACAAAACTATTACTTACAGAACAAAATACTACTTATTTCTGCAATCATGGCGTTTATCTAATTTTGTAAAATATAATACAATTTCAAATGGCAGTCATAACAGATGTTTCATATTAAAAGTATCTTATAAATTTTAATTTGTAAAGAAGTATGAAATAAAATAAAGAGACTAACAAAGCAGAAAAATAACTCACCTGATCAGGACTTTGCACATTGGTCACATCTGATCTTAAAAGAGGATCACAATTTGCTAAATTTGCATACACTACAATACCAGCTAAAGAAGTTCCAATGCTCAAAAGGATTGTTATAGGCAAATTCAAAAACAAGGCACTGAAAAATAAATAATTCTTTCAAAAATGTTTAATAACTTTCAATCTGTAAGTAATAGTTTTATTCTGGATAAAGACTGCATTATGAACTATTACACAATCAATATTTTATTCTCATCAAAAGAATGCTGCTTGTATTTAATCTGTTTCTAAAAGTGACAAATGCATAAGTAGATTCAAAAGTTTCCGCCCTGATATACTTCTAAAAGAAATAGAGAAAATTTTAATAGTTTTCTCAATATAATCTCCTTGTAATTAAATACATTTTTCTCATCATTTAATGAACAACTCTGTGCCTTAGAAAATGTAACCTGAAGTTTGATCCCAAAATATTCCATAATCGCTCTTCTCTCAACATCACTAAATCTCTCTCTATGAAGATAAGACTATAGTTTGAAAAACAAACAATCATTTGCAGTTAACTCTGGGATGTAAGAAGGGTGGTAAAGGTCTTCAAAACCCCACTTCTTTATTGCTTTTTAAGCCAAATTATTGTGAGAAAGATGAATATTATAACTCAGCATTCCATTCTTTTTCTCTTTAATTTCATTGCACAACTGATGAAAAAGACTAGCATAATATCCTCCATTTACATTTGTGTTTCTTTCTTAAGTTTATTAGGAGGATTCCTTGATAACCCCAAAAATGGTCACTGTTACCTTTTATACTTAGTGCTGCACCTTTGCTTATCTTGGTGACACTTCTCCCCTCTCTGGTAATTCTCCCTTTGATATAGGATCATAGTATAGGACCACTGTTTCATCAGTGATCATGATCCACTGAAAAAAAAAAAAAAAAAAATCCAGTTTGCTGTAAATGCAATAATTGCTCGAATTGCTAAAAGAAGTTGAGGTTTCCAACTTGTAGTGACTTTGCTCAGGTGAATGTGTTCCTGATGAATATGAAAACAATGTTGTTTGAGACAGATCCAATCTTGCTGCTATCTCTTTGATATTTTAATCTCCTACACTTAATATTTCCTTCTGGATACAAAAAATATTGTGTGATGTCAAAGTGTCTAACCGTCAACCTTCATGAAAATAATTTTCTATGGATTCACAGCACATGCAATTTGTTTTACCCATTATTCCATTGTAGGCAAAAGAAGATGAATCACCATACACATGAACCAAGAGTTGTTTTATTTCTTTTGGATTAAGACCTTTTTTGGACAAAATTCAGTCAAAGAACAATTCTCAGTTTGAAACATTTCAGAACAAACTAGCACATCACTTCAATAAGTAAACTGTCAGAAAAGTGTGTTTAATGACACTGCAATTTGTTTTACGCATTATTCCATTGTAGGCAAAAGAAGATGAATCACCATACACATGAACAAAGAGTTGCTTCATTTCTTTTGGATTAAGACCTTTTTTGGACAAAATTCAGTCAAAGAACAATTCTCAGTCTGAAACATTTCATAACAAACTAGCACATCACTTCAATAAGTAAACTGTCGGAAATGTGCTTAATGGCACTGGCATTCAGCCAAAGGTCCTACAAGCAAAAAGGAGGCATGCTAATTCATTTGCATTTCCTTTTTGTGAATGATTGTTGTAAAGGCTCAAGCACAGGTTTGTCCAGAGATCAATAATGCTAAGATATGAGTGAAGGCAGACATGGATCTGTCTACATGCATCAAGAATGTTAAGTACTGGAGATCATATTTTTAATGCTGTGAAATATTAACTATACCTCTGGAATAACTTTTACAACCCTTTTAATTTCAAAAATAAAATTAAGTTAATTCTTATAATTTTAAATTAAAAGAATTAAGAATAATATTCACTGTAAATACTGAAGAAATGCATCAAGACAAAATTTTGAATAATGGATGACTAAAAAAGAACTAAATGATTCTTACGTTGTTAATTAAATTTTGTTCCTAAATTAATGTAGATTATAATCAAGAAAAAAGGCAGAAATCTACATAACCAAAGAACTAGTTCATGAATTCTGTTTCTAAAAATAGGTCTCTTAAAAATAAGTCTCAGATCTCTTAAAAAAAGAAGAGAGAGAAAAAAAAAAAAAAAAAAAAAGAGAGAGCAACAAAATAAATACTACAAGAGCTGGTTTTTGTGAATTTTTCCTAAACACATCTTTTTAAGATGTTATGTTAAAATTCAAAGAAAAGGGACGAAGTACTCTAAAGTTTAGCAACTTTTTGCGCTAGCAGTTGTGGTTCTGGTACTAAAAATATTCTACATATAAAGATCATTCTTACCCATGGCTGCAATAGTTAGAGCAAAAGGTAAATAAAAAAAAGTATGCAATATCCTGTTGTTTCTGTTTATGCTTCTTCTTACCTACATCTTCAATATTTACTTAGATTCTTCAATATTACAAAAGTGTACAGTAATTATATATGCTTACATAGATACGACCATTAATGAGACCTTTAGAAATCTCCATTGACCTGCTAATATTTTACCCAAATGCACAATGTAATTTCTTATTTATGTTTGCACTGTCATAAGGATAGGTTTTTCCAACAAAACATTACAATCTCAAAATCATGAGATTAAGCTAAAAAAAAATTCTTTGGGAGATTTAATAGTAATATACTTATTATTATTGGGTTTTGTGAACATCTCTATGAGTATGAAATACTTAAATACGTTGAAGCAAAAGAGAAGAATATGTAGTTGTAAGCATACTGACGGCTCCTGATATGAATTAGACTGTCTTGAATACCTATAAGGACTGTTTTAAATTCTTCAATATTATAAACTAAAGGGGGAAATGTCCTTTTGATGATAAAATAATTCCCATTAGAATTTATAAATCATTCCCAGAATGGATTTCATGAGGTTTCATACCATGGTAGAGTCTAAAAAAAAGTCAACCAATGTATACTTAAAAATCATGTCCCATGTCATTTTGTATGTTTCATGTAAATAAACCTATATGATACCTAGAAGATGCATTCAGTGAAAAGATTATTTCAATTTTTAAAAGCTTAAGTGTTTTGTTTAGTACTTTTTGTTTCCAAACAAATTTCTAATGAGTCTTTGCAACAATAGATGGCGCTACAGCCTAATGGTTCAATTATGGTTGCTATGGCACTGAATACTTTTCAAATATGTGATTTGTATTCTATTCCCCTCCCCACCTTTTTTTTATTGCTACAGTGCTTTAGACTGATGTATGCATCAATGCTGTGTCGTCATGTTGATGGCATTTCTTCTATTTCAAATTGTTATGTAAAATAAATAAGTGATATTTACAGTCCACTTACCTTTGTTTTTGTGAACTTAATCATTTTCTGGTTCGTGCGAACGAAGAATTTAATCAGTGAGCTTTGGATAAATGTGATTTATTCAAATATCAGCACACGAAATCTGCTTCGATTTGTGGATTAATAATCAATGTAGTGTACTTTCGATTGAATTTGTGGATTATGGGTGTGGCATGGTGCAGTGTAGAAACCTCAGCATTGGGGTGAATACCATTCCAATTTTCCCCTCTTCTTTTGCTAAAGTTATTAGTATAATATTTATTGTTATTCATAATGGCTGATTTGAAACCAGTTTAAACTAAAAAGAAAGTTCTAAAAAGCAATATAACAACGTTTAAAGGCATGGTAAATTTAAATTTAGAATAAGCAGAAATTTTAGAGGTAAAGTTGTTTGAATTGAAACTAAATGCTTTTAAAAGTAACCTTTGCTCTACCTTTGAGGACATTTTTTTTGTTGTGTCCTGAAAAAGATTGTGATATATTCATTACGGAACAACAAACAATACAGGAAACTTTAGACGAATTATGAATAACTATAAAGTTAAAGAAAACTTCCAGTGATTCTGTTAACGAAACAAGTTGTATAGTAAAAGTAAATTTGTCTGACGCTCGATTACCAAAATAAGAACTTTCTTCCTTTACAGGGGAAAATATAGAAGAGTGGATTAGTTTAGAAGAGTGGATGATCTTTTTAAGGCAAGTGTAGATAACAATCTGAATATTTCTAAATGTCGGAAGTTTCAATATTTAAAGCCTTCTTGTAAAAAAGCAGGCTCTGTCTATTTATTATTGATTCTATTCCAATTTCTGATGCTAATTATGACATAGCCTTGCAGCTTTTACAGGAATGTTAGTCTAATAAAAGAGAATTAACTAATGCATTAATCCGTAAAATGCTTAATTTGTCAAATGTTTCTGATTCAGCTTAAGTTATTTTACATTGTGTTGATGTAGTGAATGAATATGTACGTTCCTTGAGAACTCTTAAGCTAAAAGTTTCTGATGTTCTTTTTGTTTATCTGATAACAGAGAAATTAGATAAAAACATAAAATTTTGGTGGGAAAGAACTTTGAAAAAAGATGAATTAGGTACTTTAGATTATTTACTTGAGTTTCTAAAAAACCAAGCTAGAACCCTTCAGAATAGTAGAAAGAAACCTAAGATTTAAGAAATTTTCTAATTCCAAAGTAGCTTCTTTAGTGTTGAGTAAAAACAGTTGGAAAATGTGCAGGGAAGATCATTCTCTTCCCAAATGTGATAGGTTTTTAAACTTAAGTGTCCAAAAAAAGAATCAAATTTGTTAAGAAACACAAACTTTGTTTTAATTGTTTATCTACTCAGCCTCATTTAGTGAAAAATTGTCATAGTTAACATAAATGTATTACGTGTAAGTTGCCTCATCATACTGTTCTTCATTTTGATCGAAATCCTAAAACTAGTGAAAATGAGAAACCCAAACAAACATCCTCACTCTCCCCCCATGCTGAAGTGTTCTTACCAAAGAATGAAGTCATTACAAATGCCACAACATGTACAGGACAATTTAATTATTCTAAAGGTGAAGCAAAACGTCTATTACTCTGTACTTATGCGATTAAAGTTAGTGATTCCAATGGTAAAGCCATCCCTTGCAGGGCTTTACTAGACTATGGCAGTGAAGACAGCTTCATAGGTGAAGAGTGTGTTAGAAAACTAAAGTTAGGTAAACTTAACAAAATTTAAGTGTCGGGCCTTGGTTCATTCAACACTGTAACAAGTGGAG